TGGTGGTGGTGGTGTTGATGGTGGTGATGATGGTGGTGGTGATGATGGTGATGATGATGCTGGTGATGGTTGTGGTCATGGTGGTGGTGATGGTGATGATGATGGTGGTGATGGTGGTGGTGGTGGTGGTGGTGGTGGTGGTAGTGGTGGTGATGGTGATGGTGGACATGCTGGCGATGGTGGTGGTAAAGGCGATGGCAGGGGTGGTGGGGATGGTTAGACGTAGATCTACCTTGATGGGAAGCTACGTCTACCTCCCCTGCTAGGTGAGCTGAGCACTGGTGCTGTTTGCTGGGGTCTGGGCACAGTGTCACCCAGTCAATCCTTGGTGTGATGCGTGTTTGGCGCAGTCTTTCCCAGAGGGAAGCAGGGCTTGTTCCACGCTTCTCGCGGTCCTGCCTTCCCACCTTGTCCTGAGACCCAGCCGTGACCTTAGGAGCACCTGGTTAGTTGCAGGCTTTGTGGGCTGGTTGGGTGGTTGGTGGCTGTGTGTGTGTGTGTGTGTGTGTGTGTGTGTGTGTGTCCGTGTGTCCTCAGTGGAGATGTGAGAGCCACCAGAGCAGGGACAGAATTCCACACGTCCCACGGGATTGTGGGAGCCTGGCTCCCAGCATCCTGGCAGACCCTCAGTAAATCCTGTGCCGCTCGGGAACCGAGGCGGGTCCCTGGCCTGTGACCCCGGGTGCATAGGTCTCCGCCATTCTTCTGATCGGATAACAGAAGAGGTGGTTCCCGGGATTCACGCAGTGTCTGATGGTCTCTTGTCTGTCTTGATGGACCACCTGGTCCTGCGCCATTTGACATTGGGGTGTGGTGCCCAGGGCCACCCGGGAGAGGGTGCCCACATGCCAGGTGCCCCTGCAGCAGGATGGGCCCCGCAGCTGGCGTCTGAACAGCGGATGGTCAGTGTGGCCAGCACGAGGCCTGACCGCTGCAGCGTGCCCAGCGCTTGCTGCCGACGAGCTCGCATCCTCATTGAATCCTGCCACCGAGAGGCCCTGCGCTCCATCGAGGGAAGGGCTCAGCTGTCCAGCAGGCTGCCCAGCGAGCACCGGGCTGCCTGGACTTGAACGCCAGCCCCTTGGTGGTGTCCTGCTTAGGGAATCGGGCTGGCCACAGGAAATCCGCCCAAGTCTCTCCCCAGCTTCCCAAAGCTGTGCTGATCTGACGCCTGATCTTCAGCCTGTGGCCCAGAGGCACAGGCTCCCCGATTATGTCCCAAGATTGAAATGCATAATTAAGAAATACATCTTACCAAGGAAGTCCCTTCAGAATGTGTGTGCGCCCGCGGTAACTGCTATGAGGTCTGTTACATTTTAGAAGACCCAACTGGCGCGTCTGGGAGTCTAAGAAAAATCACTGTGCTTCCATGGACAAGATCTTCCAAAACCCAGGACAGCAGGGGTGGTGAGAGAGGCCCTGGCCCTTCAGGTGACTGGGACTAGGCCGGGGCCTCTGCGGGGACGGAGGGCCGGGGAGGCCTCTGGCGAGTGACCCACCAGGCCAGGGGAGCCTCACGGCGGAGCGGCTGCTGGCGGAGCGGGGTTTCGTCCACAGGTGTGAACACTTCCTGCATCTCTTAGTGACCAAATCACTGGGGTCGAAAGCCGTGGTAATAACTGCCCTTGCACACTCCAAGGCTGTCTGGGAAAGCAAAGTGGGGGCATTAACGTGGCTTCTGGGTTAAGCAGTGCACGGCAGGGACAGTCAACCCTGGGTCTCCAACGCGGTCCTCTTCTTCCCTCCCCGCCAGGGCTGGGTGCCACGCGCAGGGACACTCGCCAGCCACAGAAACGCTCGCTCACGTCACACAGTAGTGTTGCAGGTGGACCTGGGGTGGGAAGAAGGAAAGAAAGAAAAGCAGAGCCAGGGGATGCTCAGGCCACGTGCTGGCCACGGAGCTGCCAGTGGGCAAGGTGGGGGGAATCCCCGCAGGTTAGCGAAGTAGAGCAAGCCCCGGTGCTCCCCAGCCAGACACCAGCACCCGCGAGCTCCTGAAGCAGCTTCGGTGCGGACAGAGCAGGTGGCCACCTGTGCGAGTCCCCAGGAGCTGACCTTGCTGTGTGTGTCCCTCCGCCGCGGGGGCCTGGCTGGTGTCCACTCCGTGGCTCACCTCTGGGGCCCTAGGTGGCAGGCATGTGCGTTAACCGCTTTCGTTAGGAGGAAGGCCGGCTCGCCGTTTTCCAAGGCCCGACGTCTACGGCGCTTCCCGGGCCCCGGCAGCTGGCCGCAGCCAGCTCAGCGGTGTTCTCTTTCAGAGTGGACGCCATGGTGAGCCTGCTGGACATGGACCATGTGAAGAGGTCAGGCTCCATGGAGCAGAGACTGGTCGCCCTGGAGGAGCAGGTGGGGTGGGGGTGGGGAGTGGGGGACGGGGCGGGGGAGGGCGCAGGGCGTGGGCTCCTTCTGCTGAGTGACAGCGGAGTGTGGGAATGAGGGGGCACAGTAGAGGGGTTGGGGGTTCTGGAGTCACTCTCCACCCCTTCAGGGGTCCTGTGGGCTGAGTGTGAGCTCCCCCTCACCTCGGGGGGCCAGAAGCCCAGGTCCCAGTGTCCTGGGGCTCTGCTTCTTCTGGGGCTCTGGGGCCCCCAGCATGTGGCCACCTTACTCTGGTCTCCCTCTCATGACCCCCTTCCGTGCATGGATCCCAGTCTTGTTGAGGCTGTAAGTCCTTGGACGGAGGACCTGCTTTAATGCACTGAAACCTCATCTTGGCTCATGGCATCTGCCAAGACTATATTTTCCATGTAGGGTCCCATTGCGATGCTCCCAGAGGGCATAGTGTTTGGGGGACCCTGCACCCGCACAGGGCACTCACAGACCGTCCGGGACCGGGAGAGGTGTGGTCTCCGGAGTCGGGGAGGGGTCCCGAAGGCGGCTGCTGAGCAGGCTGGCCGGGCAGCACAGGGGCGCACCTGCTTCCCCCGGGGTCCCCTGGGGTCTGTGCCTCGTGGATGCCCCCTTGACATAGAGCAGTGAGTTGTTCTGGGCTGTACTGAGCACGGACAGCGCCCGCGCTCCCCGCAGCTGGAGCGGGGTGTGGGGGCCCCGGGGCCTGGGCCTGCCCGGCCTGGAGGGGCGGTAGGTCAGGAGATGTGGACATGGGTGCCAGGCGCGTCCTCCCCGGACATGCTTTCCAGGTGACCCAGACCGCCCGGGCCCTGCAGTGGATCGTGACCTCACTCAAGGACTCTGGCTTTGGTGCGGCAGTGGAGGCTCCCACTCTGGGTGAGCGTGTGCCTGGGCCGTTGGAGGGTCTCGTGAGGAAGGCCTTGCCTGTGGGGGCCGAGTCCCCCCGCCCCCCTCCCCACCCCACCCCAGACCTCATCCCAGACTCCGCCCCCAGACCCAGCCTGCCTCCCCAGCTTGGCAGGTGGCTGGACTCCCAGGGGTCAGCCTGGCCCACCGCCGGCCCCCGAGCCACTTGCCAGTTGGGTTTGGGGGGGGCGTGGTGTCCAGTATCTCAGACCATCGCTGCGACTCAGTCACAGAAGGCTGCGTCCAGGTCCCTAACTGGCCTGGCCAGGGACACAGCTGGCGCTCCTGGGTATGGTGCCCCAGCCGCAGGCAGCCTGGACTGGCAGCCTTCCCAGTGGCCCTGACCATGGCTGACGTGGCTGGGCCAAGCACAGTGGTACCAGGGCTATGCTGCCCTGAGCGGCCTGTGTCCTCTCTGGGCTGGTGAGGGGGAGGAGGGGGGAGGGAGGGGGAGGGCTGTCCACTTGAGCTGGCTTTTGCTGCCCGGTGGTGTGGAGGTGGAGCTGGTAGGCGCTAGGGAAAGGAGCAGAAGGAAATGGCTGTTGTGCAGGCGCCTGAGCCCTGCACCCCTGCCCCCACCCCCGCCCCGCGCCGGGCTCAGCCCTGCACCCCTGCCCCCCCTTCCCGTGCCAGGCTCAGCCCTGCACCCCTGCCCCCCGCCCCGCACCGTGCACAGCCCTGCACCCCTGCCCCCCGCCCCGCACCGGGCTCAGCCCTTAACACCCTTAACACCCATGTGGCCCTGTCCAGTGCCGCCGAAGGCCTGCGAGGAGCTGGACGGGGAGCCCGGCGTCAGGAAGAAGGCGGAAGAGCTGGGGGACAGCTACCACGTGCACGCCCGCCACCTCCTCTACCCCAGCTCCCGGGTCTCCCGCTTCCCGGTGCCCAATGAGAAGGTGCCGTGGGAGGTGAGCGCCGGCCCCCTGCGTCGGGGGTGGGGGGGGGCAGGGGCGGCGGGGGGACATCCGCCCAGCCCTTGCGCCATCATGGCGGCCTTTGCCTGCTGCGGGGCCTCGCCGGCCCTGTGTCGGGTGGCCTTTGCTGGACAGATAGGAAACCGAGGTACATGGTCGTTCACATGGTCCACACAGCTGGACAGGTGGAGGCCCGGTAGATGCTGTCACCCGCTCGATCTCCCCCCTCCCGGCCCCCATCCTCGGTGAGCAGCTGCCCCCTCCCCCGTGCCAGCCACGGGGACACAGTGGCAGGGAGATGGAGGATGACCTGGAGAGGGATACCCTGACACCCTCTCCTGGCCCTTCTGGAACATTCTTCCTCTCTGTACTGCTTGGAGTCCTCTGACCCCCAGGGTCCCCCCTAGCTCCAGTCCCTCCCTGTGAGGTCCAGCCCCTCTGCCTGGTCTGCGTGGGGCCCTTCCCGGGGCGGCCCGGGCGTGCCGGGGCTCTGGCCCTGCAGGGCTGTGCTCTGGTCTGTCCCCGTGAGACCCTCAGAACCCCCCACCCTGCCACAGACAGAGTTCCTGATCTACCCCCCCCCCCCCGCCACAGACTGAGT